TTGGTATTGATGCTGGTTTGTCTACAACTGAACACTTAACTGGTTCCCCTCTTCTAATAAAGAATGGAAGAGAAACTTGTTTTGTTGCAAAATTAATAATGGCTCCAGAATTTCGTAGGAAGTCACAACCAAGTATTATAGCCATATCCAATTTTTCCATAATGAAAAATTCTTGTTTCATAATTCTTCCAGCGAACTGGATGTTCAATCTTGCTTTTCCTTTAGTCTTTAAAGCTTTTCCATCTGCTGAAGTGATGTTTGGTAAGTTAGTGGTTTCTATCTTGATGAATTTATGGTCCATTAACTTGATTTCTTTTTCTGTAATAAAGGACATAAGGGCTCCTGTATCACATAATGCAATGACTTCTCTTCCATTGTGGTTCTTCATTCTAAACTGAAAATCATCTCTGCCTTTTACTTGAGAGGTGCACTTGAAATGTGCAATTTTGTCCTCTTTAAGGTTAAAGATTGCCATTGTTCCTTTAGAAGTTTCTCTTTCATTTGGTTCATCAGGTTCAGTATGTATTAGTCTGTTAAATGTGCCTCTTTCCATTGCTGTGTTTCCCATTCTTTGATGTGGTTGAAATCTATTTTGGGTAAAATTTATGTTTGGATTAATTGGGTTATTGTCAAATCTTCGTTTAAATTGTTTGAATTCCTTTTCATCTTCTTTCCTTGCATCGTTGAAAAATACCTCTGCTCTTTTTGCCAGTTTAATATACTGGTCCACTGAGCTGATTTTTCCATCTTTTTCCACATGATTAACAATTTTTCCTTTAAGACCATTCCTGAATACAGTTAACAGTTGAAGCTCTCTAACGCTTTGTGTAACACAAGCCATTTCTGTATTATTGAATGGTAGTAATTTTTCCACAAGTTCTTTACTTCTTCTAATAAAACTTTGAACAGTTTCATCATTAAACTGTCTCAATCTATCAATATCTTTTTTAAAAGCCATAGGATCTGGATTGAATTCTTCATCCAATGCATCCCAAATTTCATTTTCATTTGCCATGAAGGGTAAGCTTTCAATAACATCTCTGGCTCTTCCAGTAGTGTATTTTCTCAGCATTCGAATTCTTTTCTCCTCTGTGTCCCAAAGGTTCAATTCACAAGCTGTTTGAAAGTTCCTCTTAAAGGACCAAGTATCTTTGCTACCAGAATAGGGTCTCAGCAAAGTAGTATTAGATGAATACGACAGAAGTCGCCCAGGGCAGAAGTCGCCCAGGACAGAAGTCGCCCAGACATTGATAGAAGTCGCCCAGAGCTGTGACAGAAGTCGCCCAGAAGTGTGATAGAAGTCACCCAGGACTATGACAGAAGTCGCCCAGAAGTGTACTAGAAGTTTACAGTATGCTTAATAAAATGCAAAATATATGAAAATAATTTATGAAGTAGTTTGTATTTATTATTTGTAATCTCTGAGTGATAATGAAAGAAATTGTTTTACCAGTTTTTTTTGTAGAGTAATGTTTTACCACTTGATTTGTTGTGAAAATTGAATTGTTAGCTATTCGAATTAAGTGATTTTCTGCATTGTAATCCTTCAAAAGTAACAATTGTTTTGATAAAAATATTAGTCTCTTTAAAATCATGTATATATCTTACAATTTTTTTTTAATTCTCATGATCTTTGACATAAGAGGTATTTGAAAGAAATTGATGAACATGGCAAAATTCTGCTTTGAATGTAGAAACAAATTTAATAAATTAAATGAAATGCATAAGATTTTTAGTTTAAAACTCAATACTGTACTTTGTATTGTGATTGTGGGAATTTTCTGCTGTACTGATCCAAATAGAACCTCAAGTTTGTGCACAAGTTTAAGCAAATAAATGATATTTATGTGAAACCTTCAACAGAATGCCAGTATTTTATTATTTAATTCATTCACTATTTAGTTATTATTAAATGATGCATTCTATATTTATTAATACTTATTATATATTTCAATTGTCAGAAATCAATAGAAACAAAGAACAAACACATTATGTCTTCTACAGTTCTAGGCGACTTCTGTCATAGTCCTGGGCGACTTCTATCACAGTTCTGGGCGACTTCTGTCACAGCTCTGGGCGACTTCTATCAATTTCTGGGCGACTTCTGTCCTGGGCGACTTCTGCCCTGGGCGACTTCTGTTGTTCCCGTATTAGATTTCTCATTAGCATCAATTAAAAGACTTGCAATTGTCTTTACCAAAGCATTATCTTGAAAGCCAGAATTACTGAATTTTGGTTGAGTAGGATCAGGATTAACCATACCTTCAGGAATTGTAGTTCCCCCAGTTAATGAATGGTATTTCAAAAAGCTATTACCATCAATCTTGGCTCCACTACCCTTAATTCTCAACATTAATTCATTTATTTTAGAGAGATACTCATCTATTTCTTTTGCTCTGGTTTTGTCACTTTCATAAACCAAAATATCAGTCCTTAGAGTTGAATTGTGGGCTGTCAACTGCACCATATTTGTACTTTGTTGTATTGTAATTGTAGGAATTTCTGCTTCTTCAGAACAGTATTCATCCTTTCCAATCATTTATCAATTTACCAAAGTACTAGTCCAATTAGAACCTTTCAAGTTCATCCACAAATAGTCTTAACAAATGTAATTTTGGTAGAAATAATTCAACAAAATACCAGTATTTCGTCCAAAGAATATGTATTGAGTAAATGAGTTTCTAGTTCTAAACAAGTAAGTTTAAACAACCAGTTAACAGTTAAAGAACTGAACTGACAAGCTGGGGAAATGCATTTCCTTTTATACATTTCCAAAGCTTGGGTTCAAGTGGTCAAAGGATTACAAAGTTGAAATCTGACAGTCTCATAATTCTCATGTAACAAAAATATGAAAAACTGTTATATCACACATATAAAATATAATCCTAAGATTAGGGCCACATGTCAAACATGTGCCACAGTAAACAGGCCGGCCTCATCAGCATCTGGTGTTTGACCTGCATCTTTTCCATGTTCTTTGTTCCTTTGTTAATTCCCAAGTAGCCACCATCTGTTACAGTCAAGAGTCTATTTCTTACGAAATAGAGTTCTTTCTAAAGTACTAAAAGCTAACACTACAAAATAAAAGTCTTTCTAAAATTCTACCACTATAATTCCTACAAAATATAAGTATTTCTATAGTTGCACCAGTCTAATTCTTATAAAATAGAAGTCTTTCTAATGTACCCTTATATCTAAAGTCTAAGTATTGATATATCATTATATCTAAGTGCACAGATTTAATGGCAGAAAGAGTAGATTTCAAATATCAGAATGAGAGTTAAAAAAAAATTTTTTTTCTACAAAATAAATATAATAAGCTTAGGCTGTTGAAAAAAATCACCACTAGAGGACTCTATGAGTTGTTTACAGGTACTTTCATTTGAATGGTGTAGGAATTTAAATAGTCCCCTTCATTTTCGTGCCATCTTTTAAAAAGGTAAGAGCTCAGTTATGTAAAATAAACCTCAAAATTCTCAATATTCATTTCTGTGCTTTTTGAAAAGTACAGCCTGGCTTTTTAAGCTTTTTCTCTGACTTTTTGGCATGTAGAGTATGAAATAATCTTTGTGTAGGTTCTGTTTTGTCCATGCATTTGACTAATGTTACTGTAGTAATATTTTTCATTTGCATTGTTTTGTCTTTAGTTTAGCATGTGTAGGCATAGATATAGGCTATGTTGTAATGTTATTGTTTGATTGTGCTTTTTGAAAAGTACAATCCCCTGTTTTCTTCAAATTTGTATAAGTAGGTAAAAAATTAATCTTTGGGTAGGTCTTATTCTGTTTTTTGTGCTATTTGATTATATATCATAACCATCAAAATAGGATGGAAATTCTGGTCTCTTTAGAAAAAGACCTCCAACTGAAACAACTACTGGTCCTTCATAATAGTTGTTTTCAGCATTATTATTGTAAAATGAAAATGTTGATTTACTAAATTCTTTTTTATTAATTATCAAGTCAAAAAATGAACAGAGTAGAAGAGAAAACAACCACAAATTTTTCATATTCTTTCTCTCTCTTTAAAACGAAAGAGACTGTAGATGATGGTGCATGATTTCTTTAACTAACCTTTTTAAATTATTATTAATTCTTCTTTTTGTACTAAAGGCATGTAGAGTACTGTATAATACTATTCCAAGATTGTTGTCCATTCATCAATGGAATGTAACAATTTTGGTGCACACTATGAAAAGTGCATACTCATTGGTAAGCATATGCATACAGTGTATGATAATGACCTACAAGTGTGCATATAAGTTAATTAGGCTTAATATTCAAATTAATTATAAATTAGTATAAATGGTAGTGTATGTTGTATCTTAGGCGTTTAGAGTACTGTATAATACTATTCCAATACTGCTTTTCCATTGATGAATGGAATGTAACAATTTTGGGCACACACTATGAAGTGTGCGTACTCCTTGGAAAGTATTTGTGTATGGTGCACGTAAACTTCCTAAATATGTACAAAGCAAGTAGTTATAAGAAAGTTCAATATCAGGGTAGATAGTTTGTAGCAGTTGCCAAGTTACCAAGTAGCTTTCAACCAGGAGGAGTAGAAGTTGCAGACTTCTGCTTGTTTCCAGGTTATCTTCTCAAATCAAGAGGTAGAGATAGAGAGGAGAGAGAAGGCTTTCTGTCTCTCTGACTCAAATAAAACTACAAGAGTTTATATATTCTTTGTAAGAGGATGTCACAAAGTCCACTAGACATAATGGTTGTCTTTTATGAAAGTTAATTAAATTATAACTGGACCAAAGGTTAATGTGTTTTATTAAGTGGTTTGGGAGTGGCATAAGTTTTAGGCCTATCATAATAGCTTCAAGTACAATAAAAATATATTCGTAAGTTGTACACTATTTTATCATAATTTTATCAAAATTAATTTGAAAAACCCTAAGTTGTACAATAGTAATATGTTTTTTTTTAATATTGACAACACAGGATTGGTAATGTCAATCCTATATTTATATTTTTCCTAGATTTATAAATAAAGAAACTTGAAACTAATAAAAAAAATATAAATCTCTTTGTTACAATATTCTTTTATTTATTTATTGAAAATATTTCTATTTTTAATCCAATATCTAAGATTGTTGTCTTGAAAGAAATGATTGTCAGAAATAGGATCTTTGTTCGGGGATTTTGAAGGAGTGGTTAGGGGATCAAATAGTTTTGCCCTAATCCAACAACTGAATGAATAAATTAACTTAATATGTATTAATATTAGGAATAACGATTTGAAAATGTTGTTGGAAATTATTAGTTATTTAGAGTTATTAGAGTTATAAAATATTTATTTGTTTCATTAGGCCTATTTTATATTATTCAATGAATATTTTATTTATACATTGAATAGAAAAAAGAATACAAAAGAAATAATAAAAAAAGATACAAAAGAACTTGCTAGAGAACAAATTTAAATAGTGACACAGCTAGCGTAGGCAAAGATTTTTTCATAACTCTTGATATCAGAGTATCCTCTAGAATCCTTTACAAAAGCACATATAAAAAAAATATATATTTTATTTTAGTGTTTTCATAATTAAAAAAAATAACAATAATTTTTAACAGTAGAAATAAATATATTAAAATTGTAAGTAGCTCAATAAACATACAAAGAAAAGTGTAATTAATTAGGACAAAACATTTTGAGTCTGAAATAAATCATTATATCACAAAGAAAACTATCCTTTGCCCAATATTGTCAGTAGGAGGCGCCTTGGAGTCTTAGCAAACACTACAACAGCATTTTTATTTGTGACTCCAACAAGTCACAAAAAGAGAAAGTTTGGTATTTTTTGAAGAAATACAAATGGAGGTGGGACTTATTAATTCAACTGGTAGATACCTGACAGCTGAATTCTTTGGATTCAGAATTAATGCAACTGCAACAACTTTGGGAAAGAAACAATGTTGGTTTATTGAACCTGGTGATAATAATGTTTTCTACATAAGATCTCATCTTGGACGATATTTAAGTGGTGATGAAAAGGGAAATGTCTCATGTACATCAGAAAGTAAAGGACCTAATGAGCAATTTATTATTGAGTATTGTCCAGAAAATTCAGGACGCTGGGCTCTCCGGAATCAGCAAACAAGTCGCTATTTTGGAGGCAATGAAGACCTTTTGAAATGTTATGAGAAAGAACCAACTTCCATGGAATGGTGGATTCCACATTTGGCCATTCATCCTCAAATAAATTTACAACATGTCCATAGAAAGACAGTTGCTTGTCTAAAAGACAACAGCTTGTTATGCTTGAAGACCATTCCATGGGGTAGTGATAGTCTTATCACCATTGATTGGGAAGGTAAAGATGGAGAAGCAAAATACAGTTTGAAATCAGCTAATAATCTTTACCTTGAACAAAATGGAGATTTAAAGGAAAACTCATCACAGGCATGTTTATACAGACTTGAGGTTATATGTGGACTTAAAGGTGGTTTGGCATTTAAAGATGAAGCTGAAAAATATCTTACTGCAGTTGGACCATATGGAAAAATGCAAACAAGAAAAGGCACAATTGGCATGGAAGAATCATTCATATTCCAAAACAGTTATCCACAAGGAGCAATGTTGGCACAAAATCACAGGAATGTGTCAATTCGGCAAGGTAAATGATTAATCATGTAATCTTTTAAGAAAAAATTTTTGAGATTATACACAAAAATAGGATTACAATAGCCCAGAGAGAAAACAGCTAAATACTTATTTTTTTTAAAAAGTAGGAAAAGTAGTTAGAGTTTTTCAAAGAGGTTTTATTTGTTTGCTTCCAATTTTAGGTGTATCGTTATTAGCTAATCAACAAGAATTGGAAGATAATGAAATACATCAACTTGAATTTGAGAAAGAAAGTGGAGGTTGGTCCTTTAGAGCTGCAAATGGTAAATTATGGACAGTGGTCAATGATGGTATTGATGCAATAGCTGACAAGAAAAGTAAACACATACTATTTGATTTAGAATACTTTTCAGATGGTTGGATGGCAGTTAAAGCAAGGGTTAGCAAGAAGTACCTCACTTTAAAAGACTCTAGCGGAAAATTATCAGCAGCAAGTACCCATCCTGAAAAATTTTTATTCTCCATGATTAACAGACCTATAATTGTATTACGTACTGAATATGGATTCATAGGGTACAATCAATATGACATGTCGATAAAATGTGATAATAATTTATCTCATACTTTCTTTTTGGAGCACAGAAATGGTGAATATCATATTAAAGGTTGGTATACTTTCAAATAAATAATTTTCCAATACTTGTTTTACATTAAATGACATTTTAATTCAAATTAATTTAACTGACAGAGAAGCAAAACACTGGCAATTATTGCTGGACAGTGACAAGTAATAAGAAAGTTATGTTACATGATGGTGTAGCATATCCATTCTACTTTGAGCATTCATCACAAAATAAATTTGTTATAAGAACGCAAGCAAATGTTTATATTAAGTGTGAACAAAATGGTACTGTGAAGGCAGAAGCCAACAGACAAAATGCAACAGAAATCGAATTTTAGAAAAAAAACTATCTTTGCAAAATTTTTAACAACACTTCTACTTCTCTGAATGAGTAGATAATGTATGCTTTGGGTTATTCCTAAAAATGTTTTCCAGTTTTGCAGTGGTTTTTAAAAAGTTTTAAAAAAAATTATACCTATTGGAGTTAATATAACTTTTGAAGTGATTATATCTGTGATTTTGTTAGGGTTTGAGGTTGGGGTTTAGGGGAGGGTTATAAAAAATTTTTAGGGTTTAGGTTGTTTTGGTAGGGTTGAAATCCACTCACAAAACTGTACTTGATGATAGTATTGTGATAGGCTAGAGTTTAAGTTATTGGATATGTGGCATATATAAACCACACTGTCTTGTGCTGGTTAGGGAACTGGTTAGTACCACTTCCACTGTTTCTTTGAGTACCAGGGTTAGGGTTTTTCAATTTAATTTTGACAAAAGTCAAAATTATAATAAAGTAGTTTTTCAACTAAGCTATAAATGTGTTAAATAGTTGACCTATGCTTAAGATTATTAGGGTTAAGACAAAAATGTTATGGTTTTGCAAATAATTTCTAAACTAAAAAAGATGTATTAAAAGAAAGTGATCTAAAACAAAAAAATCTAATGCTATCACTACTTAACTCTATTTGATCACCATTGTCAATACAGCTTTGCCAGTGTGATAGCAATGCCTAATAACTCCTTTCTTATCGTAACTTTGTGACTCATGATTTTCTCCCCTAAGAGAATTTTTCAAATTTCCAAATAATAAAAGTTGGATGGAGGTAAATCAAGTGAGTTGGGAGATGAATGAGAACTGCCTACAGTGTTTTGTCAAGAATATTTGATATGTTTTGATCAAAGTGACAGATCCAGGTCTCATTACCTGTCACAATTTTCTCAGAAAAGGCATTCCCTTCATTTTCAACTCTACAAATAAGGCAACTGTAAGATTTTCACCCTGTCTTCTTTCTGGTCTGATATTAGATCACACAGAATCCACTTAGCAGAAACTGTGTGAATCTTTTATGGCTTTTAGGAATTTTTGTACAGCACTGTGCTTTTTTGTATTGTAATTATAGGAACTTTTAGTTTGTCACAATCAAATTTGTGCTTTCCAATCATTTATCAATCCACGAAAGTACTCACACCACATAAACCTTTAATACACCAGTATTTCATTCAAAGGACCTTTAGTCGTAAACAAGTTTCTAGTTCTAAACAAGCAACTTTTAACAAGTTGGTCATTAGAAAAGTGAACTGCTGACTGGCAAAATTTGTAGAGTTGATATATTATGCCAATAGTTCATAATTCACAGATCATACTTATTCACACAAAAACAATTGTATCATTTTGGATAAAGGAAAAGTCTAAATTTGGTTCCATATTTCTTACTTTTGCATTGTTCTGGAGAACAGATTATGATACTTTGGAAGAATTAAAAAAAATCCATGACCCAATTTTTGAGAGGAAAGAGTCCAGACTTCTATTTGCACAGCATCAATCTTCTTCCAAAGAAATGGCAGCAATGTATTGACAAAGGTGTGGAGGGGGAGTACCTAATATATATATATATATATAACATAGATTTTGAGAATTATGCATTCTAGATCATGAAGCATCTCTGGTAACAAAACTCTAAATAACATTTTTTTTGGCTATGATACAAATTCAAATAAGGCCAAAGTAGGTCTGCTATATTTTTAAGTTAATAGCAGGGTTAATATAAGAACATAACCCACCTTATTATAACTTGTGATATATAAAACAGGCAATGGTAAGGAGTTGTTTGATTTACCTGTTGATAAATTTGAACAAGCAGATTTCAATTTCAAAAAGATGTGTACTGACTCTGGATTTTCATCTTCATCGCATCTTATTCAAGTATTTTTGAGCACAAATGAATGGTATAATAGGGGTCGACAGAAAACGTCCACGAAAGAAAATGTCCATAAACTGAAAGAAAACGTCCATGAATGGAAAGAAAACGTCCATTAAAATAAATTTCATTTAAATATAAATATATGTTGAAAAAGTAAACCTTTGGTAAAAGAATATGTTAAACATATAATTAATAAATGAAATATTCACAAAAAAAATCACTTAACTTTTCCTATTAGCTTAATTTTTTAGGAATTATATTTCCTTATGGAGTGAAAGAAAACGTCCATACAGTGAAAGAAAACGTCCATAAAATGAAAGAAAATGTCCATACAGTGAAAGAAAATGTCTATAAACTAAAAGTAAATATCCATGAACTAAAAGAAAACATGAATAAAAATAAATTTCATTTAAATGTAAATCTATATTGAAAAACAAGTTAATAGAAAACTTTTTATATATACAAATTTGGGTTTACCATATAAATTGTGTATTGATTATTTGTAAACAACTTTAAAAGAAAGACAAACTTTTTTCAAGTTTTACAATTAAATGACCAGTGTTTTCAAGTAAAGTTTTTTGATATCAAGGTATTGTCAATTATTTTCAATAATATAATTCTGAGCAAAGCTGCAGAAGCTGGTTTGCATTAATTTCACCTGTTTTAAAATTTTCCCAAATTAAGAAAAGATCTTTTTGAATTTGGCTATAAGTCTTCCTTTGAAGTCTAATTATCTTTCTCTCACTTAAAAGCTTTTTGTACAGATTTATCATGTCTGCTTCCCTCTTTAACTCATCAATCGCTAAATAAAAAGAAACATTTTCTCCAACAATTTTATTGAGCCTTTGATGATAACCTTCCAGATCATTATTTGTCCTTATGCTTTGATCAAAAACAGACCAAGTCTCTGGAGACCAAAATGTATTTTTTATCCAAGTATTAGACACATAGTCCAACAAATCAGACAGTTTATTTTCTTTTGTCAGTTGATTTTGAATTTTAGTGAATTGATTTTCAATCATGCCATGAGGCAAATATGGCAAAGACATAATCATTCTCATGGATTCCCAAGCTCCCTCTTTTTTTCTAAATTCCCTGCTATAACCAAGTTCCTTAAACAAAAAAAATATTAATTGGATTGTTAAAAATTTTAGAAATCAATAAACCTGAATTTTTCTAAATATTGCCTGAGACCAGTGAAATGAACATCCAGTCAAGACAGCATCAGGCCATATATTTTGTAAAGTTTTCCAAACAGCCTTTTCATAGTCTAAGACTATTTTCTTAGGAGCACAATTTTCAGCTAAATCCTTCACAGCCTTAAAAATTTAACATGATTGCTTATTAGTAAGTATATTTATGAAATGTAATTCTTACCTGGAAAAGTAGTTTATATGCTCTCTTTTTTTTAGAAGACAGAAAAGAAAAAAGCAATGGAACTTGCTTAAGCTGTCCATTTTTTTTCAAAAATACATGAATAGAGTACATTTGAATGAAAGGTTCATTGGCAATCTTAAAAGTACCATCAAGGTACCAAATTTTCCCCTTTGACAATAGCTCCAATTGATGATTTGTTGCAAAGATAATGATCCTCTCATTATTCATATTTATATCCTTCTTTAAAAATTCAGGAGGAATGAATGTCATATTCAGCTCAAAGTTTTTATCATTGGGTACACTAGGCCTGTTCTTCCTTCTATTCCAATTTGCCACTTCTTTACAATTAATTATATTTGGTAAGTTTGAAGTACTAGAATACTTGACAAGAACATTTTCAGCAATTCTTTTACCTGAAGAATTTATATCACTAGAACAATTGTCTTTGATTTCATTTCTTATACGAATCCTGGTTTCTAAATTTTTTATTGGTGAATGACAATGAATGTTTGTCCCAATTGCAAAATTGCTTCCTTTTTGATTGATGCTTGCTTTACATTTTCTTTTTTTGCTTCTGACAGAACAAGTCCATACAGTAGTTGTTTTTGTTTTTAATTTAATAGTATATGAAAAACCTTTGTGAAAAAGTAAGTCTTTGCCTTTTTGACTTCCATGTGGCAGAATTTTAAAATGAAAATCCTCAGAAGAATTTTCTTTCGCAGATGTTTCACTTTCAAAAGATTCTTCCTCAATTTTTTCAGATTCATTTTGAATTGTTTCAAAATTTTCAACTTCAATTTCATTATCATATTCAATATCACTTCCATTAATGATATTTCCTTTGTCAACCTTTGTGTTTATACTTTCATCATTATTGTCATTGCTACTCCAAGATATAGATAATCTCAATTCTTCTGTGAACTCTTCAGTACTCTTTTCTTGTCCTTGATTATTGTCTCCTTTCTCATCAATTTTTAATTTTTCCTCAGTCATGCTGTTATTCTCCTCAAGATTCTTTTCTGGATATTCAACAATTGCTTCTTCCTTCTCATTAAGTTTTGCAGTAGAATTACTTTTTATTGGTACACTTTCCCTGCATTTTTTTGGTTCATCAATTCTCTTTAACATCACAAAACAGGTTTTTTTAGTTATTTTATAACAAATAAAACAGAGTGGTGATGCTGTTGATGAATCTGGAAGAAAAAAAAACAGTAAATGTTTTTCAAATAGAAGATAGTACAAACCATGCAGACATTTTATATGACAAATATGCAGGCACAATGAGCATTGGCCTTTTATTTGCCTACCAACAAATTTATGCAAATAGAACACTTGTCCATTATTCAATATTTTTTCTAAAATATTGGAGAAAAAGAAGAGCTAAACTAAAATTAATAAATGAATTTCTCATATCATTATTATGATTATTTATGTAACAATTAGTATTTTGACAATAACATTGAAAAAAAACTTCATCAACAAATAAAATTGCTAAATTTATGTTAGATTGATTATTAATAAAATAATCAATAACTTTTTAATCACAGAGATTAATAAGAACAAAAAAAACCTCTAAAAATTAAAAATTTCATATTACCTCAAGAGAGTGAAAATAGAAGAGGAAGTTGATATTTTATATCTCTTTTCCTGAAGATTTCTTCATCTCTACCAGTTTTTTTAAAGTTTTGTGTTAATTTGTTTTTCAATATATATTTATATTTAAATGAAAATTTCTTTATTTTATGTGTTCTTTTGATTCATGGATGTTTTCTTTCAGTTTATGGATGTTTTCTTTCACTTTATGGACGTTTTCTTTCAGTTTATGGACGTTTTCTTTCATGGACGTTTTCTGTCACATCCGGTATAATAGGATAATTTTTTGAACTTTTTTTTTCATATAAACAACAATGAAACAATGAAGTATGAATACATATCTAAACAATTGATAAAAAATATAGAAAATTCAATAGAATTGCCTCCAAATACTAGTCTTTCTGTACTTTGTTGTATTGTAATTGTAGGAATTTCTGGTTCGTCACAACTGTAATCGTCCTTTCCAATCATTTACCAACTTGCCAAAGTACTGGTCCAAATAGAACCTTTAAAGTTCGTCCACAAATAGTCTAACAAAGGCAATTTCGGTAGAAATTGATTAACAAAACACCAGTATTTCGTCCAAAGAATATGTATTGAGTAAAATGAGCTTCTAGTTCTAAACAAGCTAGTTTAAACAACTAGCTGACGGTTAGAAAACTGAACTATCAACTGTTAATTTCGTAGGGTTTATATACTCTTTTAAGGGTTGATAGTTCACAAATTTCAATGTTCACAAAAACAAAAGTAACATTTGAAGACAAAGAAAAGTTCTAAATATGGTCATGTTTTTATTGTTTTCCTCTTCTAAATAATAGTTGAATTTCGAAGGTTGGAGAGTTGCATAAGATGTAACAATTTTAGTAGGACAAGTCCAACAATCAAGAAAACATGTAGATTGTATATTTGACCATTTTTATATTCTACCTTAATAATGATATTCAATTGATTGAGTTAGTAAATTTAGCATCAGCATATGCAGAGGAAGTATATCTGATTAATGCATGTTAAAAAGAACAGTATTGTGTATACAATACTGTTGAATAGTGAATATAATCTAACCTTAGAATTTAAGCATAATTGATAATTAATTGAACTAGTTTTAGTTCGAAATCATAAATTTATGGATTAATAAATTGTAATATTAATGCTAGGTTGCAAATAGCAAATATTCTTTATATAATTCAATAGGTTTTATTACTGCATAATGTGTATGCACTGCCCTATGCGAAACTAGGTCACTACTGCTTATCTTTATCAGTGCTATCTGCATAGTACAATACTGGTTCAATACTACTTCTCTATTGTAGAATATAGCTGACGAATGTATGTGTACACTTTCAATCATTAGATTATTATCAAATTATAATGATTTTGATTCTTCAAATTATTATTTTATATATATTGCAAAAAAAAATTATTTTTTTTAACTTGAGAATTCAAATATGAAAATTTTGTAATTTTTTTCAGGGTTTTTTAAAAAAATTATCAGTTAGGTCAAATTCTAAAAATTCAAGTAAAATACTTTGGAAAATTATTAAAAAATACCATAATTCAGTATTAGATGATGATTTTGATTTTGAATGTTTACATAACACTGAATGTACTCATGTGATCAATCTAGAATGTTTGGATATTATATATTCACTTGGAGTTTTTTCAGTAGTGTTGAATTAAACAATAACATTTATCTTTTGGTTAAATATAGACAAAAAAAATATGATAGAAATGATTTCTGTAAAATAATCAATAAATTGAAGAGAACTGAAATTGAAAATAGATGTAAAACTTTATGTTATCACTTAGCTTATAAAAATATCTCCAATTTAGTTGAAAATCTTTCTCAAATCAGTGATAGAAGTGTATTTGATTGTTGGAATGAGACATTTAACAAGTTGTCCCTTTCTATGAAAATTAAATGTAAATCTTGTTATTTCATTTCAAATGTGAAATGTATGAGAAGATGACAATTGTTAATTTTTTCCCCTACTAATCTCTTAATCCGCCATTTTGTTTTATTGTACAGATTTAACATTGGATAATAATCTTTATGCTTATATCAAAGAATTAAATTTCTATAAAGTTGTTTTAATGGATGAAGCTGTGTTATACAAAGCAATTTCTAGAATAAATATTGCTACAATAGTATGTAAAAATCTGGGATTAGGACCAGCTTATCTTCAAAAATTTAATCAAAACACACAAAACCTCTATCAAGAAAACTATATTAAAATATTTAAGAAAAATCCAGTTTCTTTGATAAATCATCAAACTTATTATAATTGCATTGCTGAAGAAGATTCAATCTTTGAATGCTCATTTCAAATTATCAATTTTTTGGATAAAACTGTCACAATGAACTTCCATGCCAATTTTAAAATTGTAATTAATATCACATTATTATGCAATGAGCATAGAGTTTCAAGTTGGTGATTTGATAATGATAACAATATTATTCATAAAATCTTCTTCATCTTTTCTATCTCAAGATTCAAACAAGAAGAATTTACAATTAAAATTGAAACTATTTTAACAAACTCATCAAATTTTGGAAGGCTTTTATTATGGAAAAATCAATTTTGGCATACAATATACAATGATAATATCTTCAACTATGACATAAATGTAAATTATATCTATTTTCAGAGGGAGGGAGAGAGAGAGAGAGATGAGTGTGATGAAAAACATTCCCAAATTGATGCTTTTTTCCCCAACCCATTAAGGTGGATCCCTTTTTGAGGTCACTTTTCAATGGTATCAAATTCCTCGGGGCCGACAGAAAACTTCCCCAAATGAGATTTTTGAAAGCAACATTTTGGATTGAAAAATGGTTAGGAGGGGTAAAGTAGCTTTTGATTTTTAGTTAGGGGGGTTCCATCTAAGGGTTAGGAGCAATCAAAAAGGTTATGGAGAGACAAGGGCTAGGTTAGGGTTAGGGTTAAATCATGAATTTGGGAACATTTTCTGTGGTATCCAAATTCCTCAATACTATTTTAGGTGATCAATTAATTACAAATAAGAACAGCATTATGCTGACAAAGGTCTATTTTTGCATGTTGGAACCAATCCAACTGCTGCCAAAAATTCTTACATTTTCTGTCATTTTCTCACATACTGCAAATATGGAACAACAGCACCTCTCCAGAACAAAGACAAAGTAAGAAATATGGACACCATATTTGGATATTTGTGATCTGTGAACTATGAATAATTGGAAAAAGTATATGAATGCTGTGAATGTACCAGTTGGCAGTTCAGTTTCTACTAACTAGAACTAGAAGCTCATTTACTCAAAATCACATTTGTGGATGTTTTCCATTACCCCTCCTTCCCCTATATGTATATATATTATTTATTGTCATGTAGAAAGTTGCTATAGCTGTATCACAAATCAGAAAATAAATTATCCAAATGCTCTAAAAGGTATCTTCCCTTTTACATTACTACTGTTGACCTTGAACTTGAAATATATTTAGCCTATAAAACAAAGTTTTAATATATATATTTATATAGGTTGTAATGAAGAAAATGCAAGTTTTATTCATATTAACAGTGTTCATGAGTCACAGTTCCTTGTAAATATTCTTTTGAATGATGTAAAAGTGAAACTGTTAGAAGGTTTGCCTTAATTTCAATGATAAATTGCATTATATATTATAATTATAGGACTAATTTAAAAAAAAGAAACAGATAATAAGCTTTTAGTGCCACCCAAAAAAGGAAAATTTTCTCTTGCCCAAAATGTCAATGTTCCAGCAGGTATAAACATCGAAATTATATACTACTCTTAATAAAAACATTTAAAACAGGTATATTTGTTAAACGTGAAAAAACTGGTAAAAGTAAACTTTATTCAGATGACAATACCATTCCAGAGTTGACTGCAATATGGCTGTTAGTTAGAATTTCTTCATTTTGATCATTGTTTGTTTTTCATATTTTTTTTAAAAACAGACCAAAATTTTTGGAAAACAGAGATAAAATGAGGTAATTCTTTATCTTTTGTTGACATATTAAAAATACACATTTATATGTTTAGATCATTCATGTGTGCTTCAGGAGAATGGTTGGCAGATCAAATACCATCATATTTTCAAAATATGTGTTTCTTTTATAAAATTTTTGAATATTCATTGTTGGATTCTAAATTGTTGGAATTTGGGATATGCAACTGACTATAAAACCAGCAAAGATTCAAAAAATATGATAAGAAAATTATTAGCTCTATCTTTCCTTTCATCTCAAGTAATTCCGCCTGCTTTTTCCACCTTAAAAAGAAAAACTTTTGAGAAAAATGTATATAGACATTTATATGAATATGTTGAGAAGACTTGGATTAAAACTTAAATTTGTACTCCAGATAGTTGGTCTGTATTTGGAATGAGCCTTCATACTAACAATTGTGTTGAGGGATGGCATAGAAGACTTAATGTAAAAGCTATGCCAAATACTTGTTTCTATTTATTAGTTGATTTTTTGAAACATGAAGCATCTCTAATTGCAGTCTTTCAAAAGCTCCTATCGAAAAAGAAATTGAATAAATATAGTTTGCTTCAAGAAATATACTTTTTTTATAAAAGTGCCATCATCCAACAAAGATATTTTAAGATTCAGAATCTTTATAACGAAAACTTCCCCAAAAAAAGGATCACACCTTCTGGCAAGGGAAATGAGAGCAGAGATGACAATGTGAAAAATGAGTAAGAGGAAAGAAAAAAGGCGAATTACTTTTGTCAAAAAATTTCTATGTATAATTTTTGGAAATGTTTTTTTTCTAATTTTCAGAAGTTATATGATACAAGAGGATTGAATATCGCTATTATTATAGTTCAAATGAAAAATAGAGAAATTGGAACAGTAACAGACATAAAAAATCTCTTTTTACTGTTCAACACTTTAAATTACCATGTTGAAGAATGGAAGGATTTTGATAGACCAAAATTATATGAAAACATTCTGAATTTGGAGACTTCATTACAAATTCAGCAAGAGGATATTAAATCATTAATTGTATTTGTTTTAGGACATGGTAATAATGACTGCTTTGAACTGATAAGTTCGAATAAAATTGATTCTGATTTAATGCCATTTAGTGATCTGTATACTAAATTCAATATAGATATCTTGAAAGGAAAACCCAAGATATTTTGTACACAATCTTACAGAAGTAATTTAAAACTAAACCTAACATATTGTTTATTTCTCACAATGTCTTTTTTTGCCCAACCAGATACAGTGCCCAATGATACCAATGATTTTATAACCTTACATATGAATTCATCAACTGGTTCTGATATGCTTTGTCTACACTCAACAACTATGGGTGGAACCTCACTAAGAGGGAACAGAGGCAGTATTTTCATTAGAGAATTGATGTATTCAATGCTATATTTACAGCATAGTCCACGGAGACTTTTCAAGAATATTGAAATTTTAACAAAATATTCAACATTTAGCAATTAAGCAAACTCAAAGCATATAACATTATATTTACCAGTTCAACAACAATTTTCTATCAAATTATATTCAAAATTTCAATCTATAACTTTAGAAATTCAGCATCAAATATATTTTTTTTAATGAAATTTTTTATGTTGCATTTAAATTCCATATAATTAATTAATTATGTTTGAAAATTGATTGCAGTTTGTCAAAATATGTTAAGACAGATATTCTAGATGCTTCGAATGCTCTAAAATGAATATACCTTATAAATACTCATATAAAAAACTTGTTTGTTACTTTCAAAAGTGACCCTGACATTAATTTTTTTATAGATAACTATTTTCAAAAAATCTTGGTTGGAATTTCTTAGTGTTTGATTTATCATTCAAACTGGACTATGGTGAAACTTTTGGTGAACTACTTTGTAACCGGAAGTCATTAATTCGTAATCAAAAGAATTATTCAGGTAATCTCTTGTGCTGATAGCATAAATTTCGTTTTCCAATTTAAAATGAATCCAATTAGAGGCATTTTTAACCCAGAAGGATATTTCAAATGTTTAAGAGAAGAGAAACATATCAATACAAGTAAAATGAAAGTTGCACAATCCTATACTATATGTCACATGGCATATGATATAATATTAGATAGGCCTAAAAGAACTCACTGTCTTAATGTGGTAGCACTATTTTTAAATAAATTCTATTTAATCAATTAAATTTTGAGTGCATTTCTTAATAAAGTACCAAACAGAGGCGCCATCTTTCATCGAAAATATAAATGCAAAGCGTGTGGCAAAAATGATCCAAATAAATATCGATTATTTTGTAATAAGATATTAAATTCGTGTTTCAAAAGCTACGTGTTCGTTTATTGCATAGTCAGCTATTGATTTCTACCAGTTTTTATATAGACAAGTAAAAAAGAGACAGACAGAAAATGAACATCACAAAAATTGAGGATGAATGATTCAACAATGTTTGGAAATAAAGAAAATGAAATGGAAAATTTTCAAACAGTTTATGTTTGTAAAATATTTACAATATTTAATAATAATTTAGGTCCAAATTTCAGACTCAGATGAAGCTGTTTTTCAGACATTTTCAAACTTTCTTTTAACATTGATTTTGTCTAATTTTTTGTCTTGACCTATCTAACCAGGTACACTGCCCGGTTTTAGACTACCTTCATACCAATAAAGAGAAAATTTGAGAGAATTTCAAAATTTTGAAAATATATTTGGCTTTCTATTAATGATAAAAATATAGGCCTACAGTGTACCGTTTTAAAAATACAGCAAAACAGCAAGAACTTTCCGGGTGACCCTAATATATTTCTATTTCCGGTGTGTAAAAACACATCTTTTATTATTGTAATTAAATGACTAACATATAAATTGTAGTTTTATTGATAAAATTTTTTTAGTATGGTTCCGACCAACTATTCCTTTCTTTCTGTATTTATTGTGATAATTAAAGTAATAATTATTTAGGTTATGGCTAGCAAATCCTTCTTAAAACAGTACACTGTAGGCCTACTTGTTCTATCTCCTTTAAATTCAGTTTTTGGCATTGATCAGAGATAATAGATGAATTATAGATTATAAATCTATAAAACAAGGTATGCAGAAAGATAGGAAAAAATATTTTGTTGATGTTTATAAAGCAACAAACATGTGTGAAGGGAAATCTTCTGACAATAATGTAATTGAATTGACCTTTGTGGATTGTTTACCTGATGACCTTGAAGAATTAGATGTGTCGTTTTCTGGCTTCTTTTAATTCCAGAGGAATGTGAATACTGTTCTCATAAAGCATCAAGTTTTGCTTGAACTTCTTGAATATCTTTATCAATTTCTTTTTATTTTAAGAGTTGTGGATCGTTTGTTGAATTACATTGTACAAGCGGTGCTCCAACCATTTCTGCCAATCCTTTACCACTTGGCAATCTTTGATTTGGAGTATTCCCAGCAACTTTTGCACTGTTTGGTGCTGGTGAGTTGTTAACTGCCTCTGCTGCTTCTTTTTAGTGATTTAAAAGTGTCATTTTTCGTCCTAAAAAACTGTCGCAGAATGGTTTTTATTTAGAAAAAAACTTCAATTGATAATTTTCTTCAAATGATTTTTGAAATTGTCTAGTTTTATATTTTCTTTGAAGTTTCATCCAGTTAAGGATAAATTTTTCATTTTATTGACAGATCACTTCTACCAACTTGATTCATTTTCACCTTTTTCAACAACTTTCAAGCTCCTTTACATTCAATTTGGAAAGATGGAGTTTAAAATACACATTTGCATTCTGGACCAATTCTTTGCGAAATGGTAAATTTCTCAAAAAAGTCAGGTTGATTTGAAAAAGATTAATTCCATTGATTCTCAATCACCTTTCATCCAAAGAGAAAATATTGCCAAATTCATCGAATTTGTCAAAACCAGATTGTATTCTTTTTCAGAAGTTTGTTCATATAATACTGATCATTTAAAAATATCTACAAAAAGTTTTTGAGAAAACCATGATTGATAATAAATCGACCAATAATCAAAGATTGACAGAGCTTTTTGAAATTTCAGATGATAGTTCAGATATGGAGCACTTATTGAGGTTTCAAAATTATCAGAAGCAAGAAATTTTACCATAAAAGATGCATTAGAAATAATCAAAAATTTAGATTTTAGAGATGGTAAATGTAATGCAACAGAGTATCTTGCATAAAGTTAGGAAAAACATCCAATAAAGCTAAAGCTTCAAAAATTGAACAAAATAGGCTTAGAAAAAAAATTAAATGAATTCTTCAACCTCCCTGCTACTACCTGCTCAGTTGAAAGTGTTTTTTTACTTGTTCAACTTGTAAATGCAGACAATTCAAAGATGAAAATGTAATTTTTTACTTGAGAAATTTATATGAGGCAAGTAAATAAAAAATAGGAATTTTGAAAAGAGCGTTGTTTCGAAAAAGCTATGTTTTTTATGTTCATTTCCCATTTTAAAAATATTTAATCCGCAAATCTCCTATCTCGCCAAATATTGAGTCAATAGATCTTTTTTTAGGGGTCGGGTGCGAACATACCTGTTAGCAAATATTTCCAACCATGAAAACATTTTAGGAAAGGGTTAGTTTGAATATTTGGATGAATTTATTGTTAGAGGGGCTCCAATTTAGGGTTAGGGAATATAAAAAACACAGATATTACACTCAATTTCAGATATATTAAGGTAGGCTTCAACCCGCCATGGGTACGTTCGCACCCCCATCCCTTTTTTTACAAAAAATGTAAACAGGTTTTTAAGATTAATTTGAAAAAAACCACTCATTTTATTTCAAACCATTTTTTGCATAGATTTTTCTTTTCACCCTAGTATATAAATATAAATGGTAAAAAGTCCACATTCAGGCAATCATTGAATATTACTAGGAATCTTCTTATTCGTCCCCAACAAGGTCTTCCGTGTAAGGATGTTGGATAAGACAACTTGGCCTATCTGAAACTACAACTTTGCTATTTTTGTTTACTTTGCCATTCAAATGAAGAGACATTTTTTGAAACAGTTGGATCTATTTGTTTATTATCACTCATATACCTTATCAGTGAAATGTGAAGAGAATAGATATAAGGTATTTAATTAAATTATTTGAAAATTGGAATGAAGAGAGAGAGAGAGAATTTGTGTTTGTGTTTTTTTGATTTCTAGATTTTCAATATAGATTATTTAGTGTTGATGAGAGAATTTT